TAGCATATTTCTTAAAACTAAAGATTTATTATGCAAAAAAGCATGTGTGAAATGATTATTGGTAGAAATGGAGTGTCTTTGCTAATGAACATAAGGCTATAACAAAGTGCCTATATGCAACATGAATTACGTTCAGGGATGTTATTATTTAACGAATATAATATTAAATATAATTATAGCCAATATGAATTGAGAATTTAATTTTTAGAGATAAACGAATTTTATCGTATACATATTCATATATAGAGTGTTCGTTTTATCTGGAAATCCAGAATATTTCGGAAACTACGAAAGATAGTGAAAAAAAATGTTCTTACAAAAGTTGTTTTATTTGGTGTTAATAGTTTCTGCATGGGTTTAGTGCTGGCAGAGATTTCAAGATCAAGTTAATTTTATTCAACAGAACAATATGCTTCTTTATTTATGATCTGTTAACGTTTCCTGAGACAAATTCCACGACATATTATTTATCATCATTCGAAGCGGTATAGTCATAAATTAGTGAGATGCAAAAGTAAGATCGACGCGAACCGTGAGTTCTTGGCCAAACTGAATTCTGCGAGACTGCTATCTGCTCCTACCAGACCGATTCAATGTTTCACTTTAACGTTCGGATTGATAACATGTAATATGTCGTTGAATTTGTCTAAGAAAACGCTAACAGATTATAAATAAAGAAATATACTGTTCCATTAAAAAAAGTAAACTAGACCTTAAAATCTCGGCCACTACTACACCCACGCAAAAACTATTAAAACCACGTAATGTGCCTCATCAAATCAAACGACTTTTGTAAGAACATTTTTTTATTATTTTTCGTAGTTTTCGATATATTCTGGATTTCCAGATAAAAGGAACACTGTATGGAAATCAAACATACTTTATTTTCTTTTATCGATAATAAACACAAGCTGCTTTTTATTGCATAATCAACATAATAACTAAATTTATTATTGATCTGGGTGCCAACTTTTATACATAGTGTAGTAACAAATTCTGCTAGTATAGCATACAAAATTTTATTTGTTGTACGAACGTATTATTATTTAGAAGTCAATTGTTATTTGATTACACATTCGCATTTAAAATGTAAAGTAAGATAAAATTATCACCTAACATTTAAATAGTTTTTTTTTTATCGAACTAATGCTTTTACTGACTTTGGGTACTTATGCATTTGCATTGAAACGCAACAAACTGAACAGTTACTAAAAATTTAATAAAACGTGTATTTCGTTTTTAAACAAACCAAATCTATATATACAGGCACACGATTTCTGTAGTACTGATTTTTATACCATAATTCATAAATGTGTGAATTAGTATAACCATTAAT